GATTCAGATTAATAAAGTACTCAAATGAGGAATTGAGGGCATTTTGGAATGTTTTGTCATTGTTAAGCGCTGAACTTATGATCTTATCATGCTTATCCTTCTCATCCAAAAGCCTCTGCACAAAGTCTACAGGATCCTTTAACCTTTCTGGATCAGTGACAAGCTGCTTACCAGTTTCTCTAATATGAGAAGTCATGACATCTCTAATCAGTGCCAGTCCAGTGGGCACTCTACGGAACAAGTTGTACATCCTACCTAAATCTTCATACTTGTCATCTACGATCATATTCACTAAGCCTGAGTTCTCCATATGAACCAACCTGTGCATATGGCTTTCGATCATCTCTTTCTCCACCACATTAGTAATTTTGGATTCACTTTTTGCATCCAAATAGTGGGACACTCTCTCAATCTCTTCATTGAGACGTTTCTCAGCTTTCTTCAGATAATCCCCACAATCACAGCACTCAATGAATTGCTGAGACTCAAGCCGATAAAAATCTGCTGAGACTTCAAGGAAAGGCTTTTCAAAGTCTTCTTGGTATACTGAAGAACCTAAATCCATTAGCATTTTTATTACATTCCTCATCAAACCCCTGTTTATCACTTCACCAGTCCTCTCATGCTGAACAAGTTCAAGAAGTGTGTCCTGAAGCCTTTTCTGGATTTTGCTGGAGTGGATGATATGGTCTCTCCATAAATTCAAACCAAGCTCATGAACAGGTGTTTTATGTGTACTGGGAATGAAAGTTCTATCCATGTACATTAATATATCTCGAATCATTTGCAATGCCTTGTTATGCTCCGCCCATTTTCGATTCAGTTCTTCCAGAAACAAACCTCCCTGAGCAGCTTCAATAGATTTTGCAATTTCCTTCAAATGTGATGTCATAGTTGATACAAGTCCTGAATAGAGCTTCTCCCCAAATTTGTGTAGGACCATGTTATATGCATTTCTGCAGATGCCAGATACTAAGAACATCAAAGTAATGCAGCTGGCTATGCAAAGAAAAGCTAATAGGTTCGGATTGCAAAAAATAAAGGTGGCGGATCTTCTCCTCTAAAAGTACAAGAAATAAAGCTTGTCACTAGAGCTCAATTACAGAAGAGAAAGATTAAAGGAAGTAATTCTATAAACATCTAAACCCTCATTCCAGGAAATGGTATGTGACGTGATATCCAGGAAACTATTTGTTCATGCCAACTAGAAAGCTTTATGGTTTATGCACCAAACAGTTGGCAAACAAGCTAACATGTTTTATCTTTGCTATCAATAAATATAATGACATGATCAAACTACATCAAGTTTACAATAGACATATGTACTGTACCTGTTCCTGAACCACTGGCATATTATTTTTCTTTTTATGATAAGTTTTAAACCACCTATGCTACACCTAACTGAATAAACTGGACACAGATAAGACTGGACTTAAAAGGATATGGACAGACCTAACACTTTGCACTTAAAGAACAGGAGAAAGCTAATGGTGTGCACTTAAAAGAGAAGCATATTTCTGTATAAATTATCACATTGCTATTTTAGAAGTCTAATGGAGAGAGACCTTTTACAAAAGATATACATTCCCACTTATTAAAATCTAAGTTCAAGCTTCAAGAATTAAGTTATGCTCCTTAGCTCTATCCCTCTTATGGCACAATGTGCAAGATTATTTGTGTGAATCTACTATAGGCTGTGCATGTATCCACCTAAACGACAGAATAGTATCTCCATATCAAATTGCATTTCCTTCCCCTCATACAAAAATAGTCACAAAAAATAACTACATCGATTAAACTTGCATAGTTGGAATGAGGTTTTTCTCTTTTCCTCTCAATAAAAATAAGAACATTCCCATCGACCCAACCAGTCAGATGTATCAGCTCTTATGTTTCATCAATGCCAATTTAACCATGAGATTGGCATGCCAATAAAATTACAGCTAAAATTGTGACAACAAATCCTTCACAGCCAACTGCCAGCAGAGAAAGGGGCCTGATTGGGTGGAAGGAAGAGGTAATAAAGAGAAAAGCATATTTCAAAATTCAATAATATGGGGTTCTGTAACACTAAAGTTTCTCTAATTTTCAACTGACCTACAAATAGATTAATAGGACTCCTAGCAATTAACTTGTAAGAATCAATATACTAGTACTGCCCAAGTCTTGGTGAGCAAAGTTACCCTGTATTTGAGCTGGTGAAAGTCTCAAAAGGTAGCAGGCGCCTGCTGGAATGATCGGGTGCACGTAAGCTGGCCCAGATGCCACCGTCATCAAAAAAGTATCTATATACTAGCATTGATGCTATAGTTTCGAGTCCTTGACACAATAATCGAAACAAAGTTAACCTCCACGGCCAAGCAACACCGGGTAACGGAGGCCAGAATAACAAGGAATAGCAAGTGAATTTGCTCAAATTGAAACTATCCAACACGACAGATAGCAGCTATATCCACAATAGCTAATCACTTTTCAGTTTGTAACCTTGTATAATACTTAGTTGTAGTCAAAACATAAGCCAAGGTACGAAACGTGAAGCTTCTATGTTTTAAAAAGTAATTTAGCAGCTAATACTTCTTCCTCAAACACAGGCAATTACTTGTGCGCTAAACTAAACAGCTTAAAGTTAAATTAAGCAGCTTAAAAATACAGCAAAATCACAAATGAAAATCTTATGAAATAAAATAAAACAAAGGAAGAGGAAGCAAGCAAACCTATAGAGCTCTTCGAAACTAAGACCACTAGCGTTATGATTGTAAATCTCATGAATAGCATGCTCCAGGATCTTCCATGTTTTTTCAGCATATTTCGGATCCACAACGACCCGATGCTTAAACGCCTCTATCTGGAAATTTCTCTTCTTCTGCGCACTCATTTCTCTCTCAATTCCCTAAAAGTCTACCCGCCGCCGGAATATTGAAACTTCCACAACCAATTAGAATCCGAAATAGAACGATCAGCTCTTTAATCACCGATCTAAAGGAATTGGGGATTTAGGGTTTCTCTGCAAATGAAATTGTAGAATTAGGGGAAAGTAACTTAGCGATTTAGAAACTAGAAATGGAATTAGAGTTTGATATTAACGGAAGGAAATTTATTGGATTATAAAAGTAAAATTATGGATTAACAAGTAAAGAGGTCGAACCAGAGAGCCATTTTGGTTGGTTGAAATTTTGAGACTTTGAGGAGTTTTCTTCTTCTATGTGACACCGGCACCTATCTATTTCTTTTTAATTTTTACTTTTTTTTTTATTATTCTCCCTTTACCACCTCCCGAGTCTCGCTTTTTCTTTTTTCTTCTTTTCTTATTTTTGGAACCTCTCTCGTATTTATTGGGTTTTGAGTCAATATTTGTGACTTATAAAGCCCGGCAAACTGGCCCACGAATTTAAACAAGCCCTTTAAAGTGGCTATCTGGTGTCATTTTTGCTAGTGGGACAAATGCACATATAGCCATTCTCAAGGATGTTACTTAAAAACTAATCTGTATTTATTTTGTCTAGAAATTTTAAACTAAAAATCATAACTTCAGGACAATCTAGGATATTTTGTCCTGAACAATTGAACTGAAAAACTGATATTTAGGACGCACAAGCCAATTCTTAAATAGCAACCCTTTACGGTGGCTACCTTGGGTAATTTCTACAAGTAGTAAAGTGAGAACCGCAAGAGCATTATCTACTTCGTTTGAGGACTGAACTGAAACATGTACATTTATAATCAAAGCTATAAAGTTTTCCATTGAATTCTATGGTGCATTTCTCGAAAATAGTGTCTGTTTGGTAATGCACTTCTTGGGAATGTTTAATATCTACTGCTTTTCCTTCGTTGATTTGATTTTTTTTAACAGATATGGATTTCAGATTCAAAATAAAAGCTCTAGTATTTCAAATTACTAAAAGACATTATGGAAATTCAGATTGATTAAAACTAATTGATATAGCTAAAAGTAGGGGTGTACATAGGTAGGGTTGGTTCGAATTTTGCAATTACCAAACCAAACCAATTGTGCTGGGTTATTAAATCTAAAGACCAAACCATACCAATAAAACTCGGGTTTTTCGATTTCGATTTTTCCCAGGTTTTCGGATTTTTTTTCCGGTAAAACCTTCGTAGCACAAAACATATAACTTGTGCTCAAAATATTTCGTTAATCCAAGTAAGGTACAACTATATAAGGTATTTTCCAAGAAAATAAAACAAAACATGAGATGTGTCATGGCATTATCCTAAAATATTCAACAATAAAAACAATAAAATTATGTAATATAAATATTGCTAACTAAACCGTGATTGACTAAAGTCCACCTCCCCCCCCCCCCCCCCTGCCGGCATGGGTAGGGGACGACCGAGAAAGGCAACCAAGATGAATATCTCAGATCAATTGATCAACGAATCTACAAAGAAGACACCGGTGACAACGCATGTTGCTCAAAACCCAGGAAGTGTAGAAGGATGGCCAGCACTCCCGAATCGCAGTGGGGATTCCAAAATTGGGGAAAATCAGAGCGGCGAACGGGTGCAGAAGGATCTGGGGAAAGGAATACAAATCCAACCTAGCTCAGAGGAGCATACTTAAGAGGTGATCGACAAACAAAAAGGGGCACCGATGGCTCAGTGACAGCTGGATTTAGGACACAACAAGAGTGGCAATGCTACTTGGGCAAATCTATTTGAGCGCAATAGCCTAGCTACAAAAGGTATGATCTCCGCTACATTGCTACTCAAATAAGGGATGGAAAGAAAATTGTGGAACTACCTAAAGCTGAAATTGAATCAGAAACAGAGAAGTGGAGGAAAGCACTCATTTGGTATGTAGTAGGGGCAGATCCATCAATAGGAGCAGTGGAGAGATTCATTGCTTCGCAGGGACAATTTGCGAATAAGCCGAAAGTATATTATTATAATGACGGATATTTCGTTGTTCGTTTCAATAGCCTTGAAGATAGAGATGTGGTACTCTACTCTAGGCACAGACTATGAACAACAAGCCAATCATAATGAAGGCTTGGACCCCGGATTTTGACTTCAATAATGAGGTGCTGAAGACAATACCTATATGGGTAAAGTTCCCCAAGCTACCTCTAAATTGTTGGGGGATTGAGGCTCTTAGAAGAATCAATAGTGGGATAGGACTACCATTATATGCCGATGACTGTACCACAAAGATTGAAAGAATTTCCTATGCAAGTGTATTGATAGAGATGAATATCATAAAGGAATTACCAACTAACGTACTTGTCCAGGATCCAAATGGAAGGGAATTTGAGCAGGTTGTTGAGTATGAATGGAAGCCTCAGTTCTGTATTATATGCTTGAAGATGGGACACTCATGCCTAAAATAACCTCAACAGATTAAGCAAGTTGCACAAATTGAGAGGCAACATACGTCAAAGAATAAGTAGTGGCAGGCCAAAAGGCCTAACCAAAATGCAGGAAGTGTTGTATTAAAAGAATCTATCGACAGATGCTCAAACAGAAGTACCTGACTATCAAGATGGTATGGGGGCACAAAAGGGGCAAGATGATGAATGTCAAAGGGTGAAAGCGAAGTCAGCCGAGAAAAATACTAGAAAGGGTGAGGAAGTGCACAAAGAAAATATAAACACAACAAATAGCTTCCAGCCATTAGCGAACTGAGCAGAACAGTAATGGAGTCCAGGGAAATTCCAGGCCAAAGAGAAAAGCAATGCAGTAGCAGTAGTAGAAGTGTTGAGAACCAACCTTACCCTTTGCTTCTTAGATGATGATCATTAGCTGGAATGTAAGGGGTATGAATAAGATATACAAGAAAAAGGAGTTAAAGGAGTTTTTAAAAGAAAATAAAGTTGCATTAATTGCAATAGTAGAGCATATAGTTCATGAAAGGAATGCTAATTCAGTTATACAGAAAATAGCTCCTGCGTGGAGTTGGTATGGGAACTATGATGGTAATGGCCGAGGAAGAATTTGGATACTTTGGAACCCCGAAATAGTAAGTTTCAGACCAGAAAGCAGTAATCAACAACTCATTCATGGGGAGATAAGGTTCTGTGCTTGTCACTTAAGCTTTAAATTTACATCTATTTATAGGCTGCACACAGTTAGAGATAGACAGGAATTATGGGATGAACTGAAGGCAATTAATAGCATGGAGAAAGTACCTTGGGTTGCGATGGGAGATTATAATGCTGTCTTAAACATCGACGACAGAATATATGGAAATCCTGTACAAGAAGCTGAAGTGAAGGATTTCAGGGAGTTACTAGATGACACTGGTATGACTTAATTGAAAACTGTGGGTCGGTAATTTACATGGACCAATAACCATATCTATAGCAGGATAGATAGGGCATTGGTAAACGCTGAGTGGCTGCTGAAATTTTCCAAGCTGGATATACAGATTATGGATCCTCATTTCTCAGACCATTCCCCTCTATGCCTGAAGGTAGAAGTGAAGTCAAAAAGGAAGCCCATACCCTTTAGGTTCTTCAACTATATGGCGGAACATGAAGAGTTCTTAACAGTGGTGAAGGTTGGATGGGAAAAGCATGTTCAAGGCAATCAAATGGAAAGAATCTGGACAAAGCTGAAGGAAGTAAAGCAGGAGTTAAAGAAACTATGCCCCCATAATGCAAATAGTATTAAGAAAAAGGTAAATACATTGAGGCAACAACTGAAGGAGACCCAAGAAATGATGAGGAGCATCAATCAACAACAAGGATTAATTGACAAGGAAAAAGAGCTGAAGATAGAGCTGGAAAAGTGGTCTTCGAAAGAGGAAAGCATAATGAAACAAAAATCTAGAAACCAATGGTTGAATTTGGGGGATTCAAACACAGCCTACTTATTTGCTTCAGTAAACAATAGAGTAGCACAAAACAATATCAGAAGTCTAATTACTGAGACATGAGTGTTGGCTCAAACAGAAGAAGAGATTACTACTGAAGTCACTAACTTTTATGAGAAGTTATTGGGAAATGCAGCTAAACAATTGCCTGCAATTCACCCTAGAATCATGAATGAAGGACAAAAGTTGAACATGGAGCAACAACTGAAACTGATAGAACCTGTCACTGAGCAAGATGTATACGATACATTAGCAGATATAAATGATCTCAAAGCCCCGAGATGTGATGGTTTAAATGTTATTTTCTACAAGAAAGCTTGGCTTGTGATTGGTACTAAGGTAACTGAGGCTATCCTAAACTTTTTCAATACAAATCAGATGTGTAAGGCTATAAATTGCACCTTAGTCACCCTCAAACCCAAAGTACCTAACCCATCTACTGTCAAAAAGTTCTGACCCATCTCTTGTTGCACGGTCATATACAAACTCATAGCCAAAATCATGACCAAAAGGCTGCAGAATGTTATGAACCTGCTCATTGATAAGAGTCAGTCTGCTTTTGTGCCTGGGAGAGTTATCATTGATAATATTTTGCTTAGTCATGAACTTGTGAAGGGATACGGAAGGAAGGGAATATCACCTAGGTGTATGATAAAGGTGGATATGCAAAAAGGCCTATGACTCTGTGGAGTGGCCTTTCTTAGAACAAGTGCTAACAAGTTTAAATATTCCTGCTATTTTTGTGGACCGGGTGATGCAGTGTGTGAGGAATGTGCCATACTCTATTGATATTAATGGAATACCTAGCCCACCTTTTCCACCAATAAAAGGGCTCAGGCAAGGAGACCTCCTCTCCCCATACATGTTTGTTCTAGCAATGGAATATCTAAATCGATTGTTGAAGACCTTGAAGTATAATCCAGATTTCAATTTTTACCCTAAATGTGATAAAATAAAAATTGTCCAACTAGGGTTTGCAGATGATCTACTGCTGTTCTGTAGAGGAGATGTGGTATCTGTTCAACTGTTGTATCAACGCTTTAAAGAGATTTCAAAGGCTTCTGGGCTGGTGGCTAATAATGATAAAAGTTCCATCTATTTTGGTGGGGTGAAAAATGATATACAACAGGATATCATAGAGACCTTGTAGATTTGTGAAGAGATTACTGCCAATAAAGTACCTAGGGGTTCCCTTAAGTACAAAGAGGCTAACAATTGTACAATGTTACCCCCTATTGGAGAAGATGATCGGTAGAATCACCACTGGACATCAAGATTCTTGTCATATGCTGGTCCACTTCAAATGATCAAAACTATCCTATTCTCTATCCAAACATTCTAGTCTCAGATATTTCTGTTGCCTACGAAGATTGTGAGTCTGATTGAGGCTGCTTGTAGGAAGTTCTTGTAGACTGGAGGCACCACTCTGACCACGAAGGCCTTGCTTGCATAGAGTAGAGTGTGCTACCCAAAGTCAACAGGAGGATTCAATGTGTTGGATATTCATGTGTGGAACAAAGCTGCAATTCGCAAGCTCTTGTGAAACCTGTGCAGAAAGAAATATAAATTATGGGTCCAGTGGGTTCACATATACTATGGGAATGGAAGGAACATATGGGAAATAGAGCCACAATATGCTACGTGGATGGTTAAGAAGATACTAAAATCCAAGAAGAGCATTGACGAAGCAGGAATACAAGTTAGTGATCTATGTAATATGGCAACATTCTCTATCAAATGGATGTATCAGAAGATGAGAGGTGAACATAATAAAGTGTCATGGAGGAGACTAACATGCAATAATCATAGCCCACCCAAATAGGTATTCATTCTTAATTTGGTAATTCAGGGAAGGTTGAGTACTTTAGATAGGTTGGCCCAATGGGGCATAGTAGACAACCAGGTATGCTATTTGTGCAAAGAGCAACCTGAAACCCATGCACAACTATTCTACGGTTGCAAATTTTCTACAAAAGTTTGGAGAAGAATGTTACAATGGCTGAAGGTTAACAAGCAACTACTGGCATGGCAGGAAGAAATCCAGTGGGCAAGCACAAACATGAGAGGCAAATCAAGTGGAGCAGAGATATATAAAATGGCCCTAGCTGGGAGTGTCTACCTGATATGGCAAGAGAGGAACCTAAGACACTTTCTAGGCAAGCACAAATCAGTAGAGACTATAACTAAGATGCTGGTTCAGGAGATATTTTGTAGAATCTACAGGGTTGGAAAGCTAAATAGAAGTGTAAAAATTTTAAACTGTTACCTATAGATTTATTATACGGAAAGGGTGAGATACTTGAATATTGAGGAAAATAGGAGTTGTCAAATGACAGTTTGGAACGAAAAGTTCAAACTGTTGGAGTTTCTTATTTTGTAGTTTCTATACATAACTTCAAAGGTAATGGAAAATTTAGTTACCAAAAAAAAATATTACTAACTAAAATCCATAATAAAAATAAATATAATCTAAAGGTGCTAAGTCATGCTAAAATAAGTAGACTTATAAGGGAGTATTAATTACATGACTAAACGCTAAAGAAAAAATAAAAATAGGTTATGCATTTTTATCTATATTATTGCAAAACAAAATAGATATTCAATACATTGTCGTTCGTAGTATTGAATTGAATGTCTTTTATTAGCATTAGTATTGATTTGATTTTGGTTTGGGCTTTTGTTAGCATTATTTAAGTTACTAATATTAATGGCTATAGAACTTATTGGAACATTCAAAAGTTCTAAGTCCAACCTTGAAATAACACCTTAAAAGATAAAATTATTAAAAAGTTTAAGAAATATTTATAAATTACATCACAATAGATATATCTATATATTAAATATATCTAAAATTTCTATATATGTAATGTCGGGTTAGTTTGGTTTCGGTTTGACTTTCTTTAGTTAAAACCAAACCAAACCACTTATGGTCGTTTTTTTTAACACCAGACCAAATCAAACCAAACCATAGTCGGATTTTTTTTCTCCGTTTGACTTGGATTATCGGATTAGTGCGGTTTCTCGCTTTTCTTTGGACACCCTAGCAAAAGTTATCTGGCTTGGTTATTTTGGTAACAAGGAACGACGGGAGACGGATGGGCTATTCCCTCTAAAATGTTGTGGGCCAAGTTAAATTAACTGAAGCTTATCCTGGTCCACAAATTCTTGGGCTGGTACAATTTGATGTTGCTTTAATGTAAATGGACTTATCTAAAGGTGAAGATGATATTCCATTTTCAGATTATTGACAAATGTAATTGAAGAATTTATAAAGGGAAAAGGGACTTTTATGCCTTGGAGCTCAAAAATCTTTTCTAATTTCCAATCCTCTGTATTTAATACTTGCGAGTTTCCTGAATTTTTTGTTATTATTCATTAGCGATGAACTTGCTTTAAGCTCAAAGGTGATATTGTTTGGATGGTTATTCATATATAAGAATTAGAATATTTTTACTTGTTTCCCTATGCACGTTTTTGTTTCATTCAAATTCAACTAGTTATTTGTGCTCGAGATTTTTACATTTCTATGCCACATAGGAAACCTTATTACCCTCAATGTTTAAGGTTTGACTTAATTACACTTAGTATACCAAATTACGAATTCTATACCATAATTAATTAAGGGTATAATTTAATTGTACATTTTTTACTCCTTAATTAAAGGAATCTGCACGTTTCTCTCTCCTAACCCCTCAGTCCCACCCACGTTTTACTCATACCCACGTTCTTTTTACCATTTTCCATCATCTGAAACCAAATTCTCCCTCTAAATTCACAGAAAATTGAAGAAACCCTTCAACAAAGTTGGTTCCCCATTTTGCTCCAGTTGAAGTTCATCAATGAAGAACAACAAAGTTCATCAAAATTGAAGTCAAATCTTCAAAGTTCATACACACATTTACCTTCAGCTTCAAATTTTCTCAATGAAGAAGAACAAACCTTCAAAGAGACAAGAGAGCAGCGATTCCACCATTGACAACCATTAAAAAGCTTTGAAGCTTTGAAATCAAATTTGGATTTTCAAAAATCATTATTTCTTTTGATTGGGTGTTGTTGAAAATATTTGAGAATATGTTTTGGAGTTTATATCTCAATTTTGAGGGGTTTTGGTGAAGATTAGACTTGGTTTTGACTGAAATTCAGATTGAAACTCGAAGAAGAAGAAGAAGAAGAAGACATATTGCAGAAATTGTAGATAAATATTAGAAAAATTGTAGATAAGTTGTTTTTTGCAGAAGATTTTGTAGAAGTTTTAGTCGTTTTGGATTTGTGAAAATAGAAAACAATGCATCTACAATCAGAATACAAATAATCTACAATTTATCTACAAAATATCTACAAACTGGATACATTGAATTTTAATATCCCAATTCTCATTTCAATTGTAGCATAATTGACATTTTCGACATAATTGCGTTTTTTTCCAGAAGATTTGTAGAAGTTTTAGTCGTTTTTGATTTGTAACAACTGAAAACAAAGAACCTACAATTAGAATACAAATAATCTATAATTTATCTACAAAATATCTACAAACTGGGTACATTGAATTTTTATATCCCAATTCCCATCCAATTGTAGCATAATTGTGATTTTTGACATAATTACGTTTTTTTAGAAGATTTGGAGAAGTTTTAGC